ATGGTTACCTCAGGAATCTTACATTTGTCAGTTGTTATGTTCGCCGTGTGTGGTGGACCTCAGTTTTATCAAAATGTGAGGCAGGGAAATGACGTGAGTTCTAGCTCAAATATAAAGGACATCACTCAACTGTCACCGTCCTTCTAGAGCCCTGCTTCATTTTCTCTTTCTCTTTCTATCCAATATCTTGTCATCTTTCCGAATTCTCTTCCTCCTTCCACCCTGTGCACTTCTGTGGAAAGAAGCACGATGTGATCTGTCCTTAAAGGCACAGTTTACGCCAAAGAGCGCTGTGGTGTTAAAGTATGCAGGAGAAATTTATCAGGTCTCGTTTGTGAATAGAAAATGCCAAATGGAACGTCGGAGACGTCTTCAATAGGGCCCCTCCACCGTTAAACAGTCATGCGGGTGAAAGGTTAAAAAGCCGCGTGTCGTGAAGAGTTCAGTCGGCTACTTTCTTGTGGTGAACCCTATGACCCCACAATGGAGCATCCACTCAATGCCACTCATGCGGTAGCATCGCTAGAAGAAAGCAGGCTCTCAAGGCGGGGTCTGGAAGCGGAGTCGCTGGGGAAAGGGAGGACCACTGAGCAGCTTCGCTTTCCTACAATCTTGTGCAGTTTCACAGGTCATAGCGGACCGTTCTTTTATCGCCTCAGAACCCGCAATTCGGAGGGAACTACCCATCATGGAGCACATGCATGTTTCCATACTGCAACATAGGGGTCACCAGACAGATGGGTAGTTCGCTCCACCAGCTTCTGACAGTGACTGGCTCTCGAACATCATAAAACGTATCTTACGCCTTTGCAGGACCCTTCTTATTTATCGTCTGCGTTATGTATTGCCTACTTTGTGTGGTACGCAGCTGTAATAATTTATGTTTTCCTGATGTGCTTTGCTGATCCACGCGACCCATCTGAGAAAAGGGTATGTTTTTTCTATGTTTGTATGATTTTCATGTCATTTTGTGTACTCATACATTTTAGCAAGGCTCCGTTGAACTGGATAGCTCGTTTTTTCAATCGCCTTACTCTGTGGTGGTTTAATCCTGTCCCCTGGAAAGGTGCTCGTAAAGATCTTGAGGTAAAATATATGAAGATCGATGTGCGTGGAAACTTCTTTTTGCAAAAAAAAAAACTTCGGGTTACTGTTCATGAGGACAGTTATTTTTAGCCTGATGATCTCTTCCAATTGAACGAAGGGAGCACATCGAAATATCTTACTGAACTATGGGAAAAGCATTGGACTCATCGAATAACAGGTCGCTTTTTTCTTGCTGTCCTTGTCCTCCATTACTTCACTTGAGCGCTGTCATTCAGATTACTACGAAAAAATGAGATTGTGGGAAGATTCTGGGTGAGTTATGAATACAATATACATGCCTACTATATACTTTGCTACGCCATTTAGTTATTTGGTGTGTGGTTTTTGCGAATTAGGTTCTACCTGAAGAGTACTTGGAGTGGTTGTGTCAAGTTCGGGATGCCCTAGGCAATGGCGACAAGATGAAGAGAAGCCACACTGACCTCATGCTGGGAAACCCCGCCGAATATGGGCGGAAACGTCCACATGATGGCTGGGCCGTACCCGAGATGGGCGGTCTTTGCTACTAATCGTCATAACTCGGTTCCGTGGTAGTTTAGAGATTCATTCACCACAGAAGGACCAGTCGGATCGCGGGCGTCAGCCGACGTTTTGACTGCTATGGGATCATTTAAGGTACGGTGGCCTGCAGGTGACTCCCGTTTTATTCATAGATCCCGAATATGATATAGTGCGCGCCGCACCTTCTGTCACGACATGATTTGCACCACTTTTCCTAACCTTGCTCGCATGCGAAGAACTTTCATTTCTCACTCTGCTAGATATATATATACATTGGTTTGTTTTGCATGCACATGTAGATGATCAAGTTATTTGGAGATTTTCAGAAAAGAGAAAAAACCAGCTCTTCCCTCGGTGGTTGGATGCCTTTTTATGATGTTTCGTTGGGAATTTCTGACAGCTTCAGCACTTAAAATAACCAGTGATACCCTGCAATTTGCGAACCCATTTTTGTTACAGTGAGTGTATACTGTGTTACTTATAAACCGCTTTGAAACAGTCTAGAGATTTTCGTCATTTTCTGTTTCAGTCAACTCATTGG